TGCCTGTCCCACCTACATCCCTCCCCATTGGTAGTTCAGCCAAAGGACACATTTCCTGACCCCCGAGCAGCTGTGGTCAGCGATGGAGCTTCGGTGACGAGATGCAAGCTGATGTGCTGTGTGGTTCTCGAGAAGTCTTTAAGGCAGGGCAGCCTATTCTTGCCTCTTTCCTGCAGCACAGTGCATGGGAGGGTGGTTTGGGTGGACAGATACCATTCTGGACCCCAAGGACAAGGACGGCCATCTAGGGACGATGCAGCTAGAATGGCACCAGGAGCCGTGGGAAGGACAGGGAAGCTGCCAACCCCACCCCAGGTAGATAGATGGCTTCTCTCTTGAGAGACAAAACTAAAACTTTTATTGTGTTGAAGCCATTGCTTTTGTGAGTTTTCTGTCAGAGGCAGCTAGCTGAAACTCATCCTAAATGTTACAACAACTCCTGGAAAGAACATCACCCATCTTCACATTTGAGCTTTTTATGGCATGGCCACCCAGTCCAAGAGAAGGCTCGAGCCACCAAGTTGAAACACGATCACGCGCAGCTGGTTTCAGGGGAGGCTAGCGCAGGCTCTATCTTCCTATAATGTTACCCGCCCCTCCCCCCACCAATGTGTTCTGATAGTTTGATATCTTTTCACCCCATATTTTTTCTTCTTTCCCCCATTCAAGCAGGGAGCAGGCTCTGTACCAGAACCTCGGCTGTGACCCAGCAGCAGAGCAGCTAAGGGGCCATCCCGGCTGGGCCATTCCCTGTGTTGACGGCTGATCAGTCATCCCCACGGCATTGCCATACCATGGGACCACGTACCCTTGGACTTGGAGAGGGAAAGGAGACAACTAACAGCATCTCAGCTTAACAAGCTCAAGGTCAAACTCCCAGCTACTCTTCCCAGGTCTCCCCGCCAGCCCTCTATCCTTCCAGCTGCTCAGGCCAAACCTTGGACTGTCCTGACCCTTCCCTTTCTCACCCCCACACCCACACCATTAGCGAATCCAGAGGGTCTGCTTTCGAAATGCAACCAAAGGCAACCACTGCTCGCCCCGTCTCCACCCCGACCCTGGTCTGCGCCATCGCCATCTCCTTCCTGCCCTGTTGAGATGGCCTCCTAACTGGCCTCTCCGTGCTCTGCCCCTGTTCCCCGCAGTCTGCGCTCCTCGTGGCAGCCAGGGTTCGCCTGCCAAACTGCAAGTCAGCACGTGCTCAAAACCCTCCCGTGGATCCCGGCTCACTCAGGATAAAGGCCCAAGTGCTCCCAGGGCCCTCCGAGACCCGACCCGCCTGGCTCGCGGCTCTTCCCTACTTCTCCCTTCCTCATTCGCTGTGCTTGAGCCACACTGGACCCTCTGTCATCCTTGAAAACACCAGCCGCGGTCCTGCCACGGTGCCTTTGCACCTGCTGCTCCCTCTGCTTGGAAAACTGTCCCCCAGATAGTCGAGTGATTGTCCCTGTGTCTCAGGGCTTTAGTCAAGTATCTCCTCAAAGAGGTCTCTCCCCTCCGCCACTATCCAGCAACACTGTCACCTCCCCGCCCGCCTGCGGTCTGATCCTCCTTCCCTGATCTTCCTCACAGCACTTGTTGATAGCATCCGGCATACTATACATTTCACTTATTTCGTTTGTCCCCCCCCCGCACTGGAATGTACGCTCTCTGAGCACGAGGACTTTGGCTTCATTGATGATTCCGTTCTCAGCCACTGGAACAGTGTCTGGGACCCCGCAGATGTGGAACAGCTCTTCGTCGTACCGCCCTCTATTGCTTTCCCTCCTTCCTTGCCTCCCTCCTACTGCCCTGGGATTGCTCTCACCCCCAGTGATGCATTAGCGCAGAAGCACACGACTCAGGCTGTTTTCCGGGGAAGCCACATGACTACAGTTACTTGCTGTAGGTCACGCAGCTGGTAAGAGCCAGATCCAGGATTCATTCAGACCCAGGCTTGGAGCTTCATGTGCAAAGGCTCAAGGCAAGTTAACAGTTCAAAAGGGCACATTCCCCACAATCTCTACAACCAGGTGTTTTCCCTTTTACCCGGCAATGGTACCCTTTGCTGGGACAAAGGAAAGTGTAATTTCTGCCTAGCAAAGGCACAAACGCACATGGAAATAAGAATTGTCAATGAGACAGTTGGTTCATGAAATGTACACTCAAAAATTTTCTTAGGAATACATGTAATTTTACAAGACCATTCATCGTAGCACCAAGCCTAAAATTCCTTGATAGAAAACAGTCAAATAACAAATACTCCAGTTAACGTCCCACAGGTATAAATTATGCAAATACTCATTTATATCGTCATTTATAATAATAAATAAGAGTGCACGTTCATACAATTTTGTTTACAAAGATCCCTTTTAACAAAGCTACAGCTATGTATATACTAGACAAAATAATCCTTGTACTACAAAATAACATTTCACTGTTTTTTCAATAGTTTTCTTAGAGCTCTCAGTAAAAATTTTCACACATCGTCCATTAAGTCTTTAAGTCTTGTCATGACGTTAAAAGATACGATAGCATTAAATCTGATAAACATATTACAGATCTTGAAAAAATAAACGCCTATCATGATCCAATACAATGTGCTCTGAGCAAACTCCTGTTTCCAGGTTTAGTCATTTGTCCTGACGATGTACAGTAGGGAACAACCATTTTTCTACCTGTACTATTTGTCTTTGGCTGACATTACCAGCGCCAACGCAAGTGCTGCAGACACTATCTTCTGGTGCAATTTCTAGGGCAAAGGGCTGGTCTCTTTTTCCCTGGGACCCCTACCCCACTACGCCCACCTCGGGGACATTCTGCACAAATGCGCCAGCCTTTGGCTTAAGGGATCTAATGCAAAAAATGCCAAGGGCCTCTGATTCCAAGTGGAATTTCTGTGCCTGTGTATTTTGAGTCTGCTAGGGGGAGGGGAACAAGTTGGGAGGAGTAGACAGGTCCAGTTGGTGACAGCTATTTATTTCTGCCCCTCAGCTTCTCAATTTGCAAGAAATTCCCCTGGGGAACTACCCCCCCATCCCCCATGCTGACTTAAGTTAAGGAGACTAAACCCAGTTTGGTTCTGGGAGCCCCACGAAGCAAATAGCCCACATTCTATGCCAAACTTTCATTCCCACACCTTTAACCAGCTACTTTTTATTTTACCAAAACTTTTCTGAAACGAAGGCACCTTTCTTGGATACGAAAGCCGGAAGCAATGCTCTAAGCTCTGGGGTTCATATAGAATATAGAGGGGCATTTATTTTAAGCAAATAGGCCCGTTACTGAGATTAAAAAAAAAAATAATCTAACTTGCTAACCTTTGGATTTTAAAATTTAGGACTTTTCAAAATATGTCCTCCAACTTCCAACCCAGAGAGGTAAATGAATTATTCAAGGTGTCACAGCAGGGAGCCACAGCTAGGAGGTGGGTTCCTGATTCCCAGGACAGCTTGTCCTACTTTGAAACAAAGTCAGTTCTCTAGGTCAAAGGCATTCCTAGAGTTTCTAAACTTTAAACAAGCGTTTCAACCTTTGCGTGACATTTCAGGACACAGGCATTCTGTGGCCGTCCTTTCTCATGGCATAATATTGCAGAGACTATATTCTCGTGGACTTTTGGTGGGACTAAGACGAGTCATGGCTGCTGCAAAAGGAATAAAACTATTATGTTTTTTTCCTATTTGTTTTTGCATTAATGCAAAAATCATGGCTTTTAGACTTAAAACAAAGGAAAAATAATGATCCTTATTTCAAAACCAACCAATTATGACTTCATCCAAGTAATCCATGTTCTCCATCTCCATTTTAATCATGCTTCGGCCCAAAACGATGAAATTAATTTGTTTCTTGAAGGAGAAAGCCTAACTTCCTACACTGAAAAGCATGTGTCAAGTGGTGGAGAGGGATTGGGGGGAGGGGGGAGATGCAGAGTTAACTAAAGTCCCTGAAATCTTCAATGTTAGGCAGATCTTTTACTGCTAAAGGCCCTTTAGAGTAGGGGTCCCTAACCCCTGGGCCAAAGACCACAGACTGATACTGGTCCATGGCCTGTTAGGAACCAGGCCACACAGCAGGAGGTGAGCGGCAGGCGAGCCAGTGAAGATTCACCTGTATCTGCAGCTGCTCCCTAGCGCTAGCATCACCACCTCAGCTCTACCACCGATGCTCAGGCATTTGAGTCTCATAGGAGCACCAGTTCCTGGTGCCAAAAAAGTTGGGGGCCACTGCTTTGGCGGCATTTTGGTTGCAAACTGGCGACCACAGGCTAAAACCTGTCATTTTTATGTGACTATTGAAGCAGTTTTGATATAGGGTTGGGCGTCAGTCTACAGAAACATGGGAAGGGGAAGGTGGGGGATGGCAATGTGACTAACGAAGTTTGCCACCTTCCCAACTCTGAGAATTTCCATCCACACCTTGCCAACTAGGCCCGTCACCAAGAATCAGAATCTCATTAGGGTGTAACTTTACTTTCTAGGCAGTGAAGTCGAGGCTGAAAATCAGCGTCCGAAAATGCGTCCTGCGTTCCTGGTCCGCCACGTACTATCGCTGTGACCGTGTTCCTTTTCCTTCCTGTGCTCCAGTTTCCTCTCTGGAATAACCTCCTCCCGTGACTGTTGTAGGGGTCAGACGACTTAAGGGTACACAGTGGCTTCGACTTCCTCTTGTAATAGGCATGAGTTAGAGATGAGGCAGAGCAGCCGGCCAGATGAGGGCGGATTGGAAAGAGGTTGGAAGAAGCCATGGGAAACTGAATGCCAAGAAAGGAGGTATACGCAAAGCCTGGAGAGGAGGGAACCGGAAAATGAGGATTTGCATTTGACATCATCCTAACAAACCTGCAAAGAAGTTATAAGGCATTCAGCAAAGACGTACTGGATGTCCACTCTGCACAGAAGATGCTCAGAGAGCTTGATCTGCCCAAGGTCATCCAGATACCTGGTGACAAACCTGGGACCCAAACCCGGATTCGGCGGATTCCC